GTGCCACCGAAACCTCACAGTTTTGAATTGGAACAACACGAATAATAGGGAGGAGAAGCATCCGAATATAAACATGAATGTCAAGTTTTTGCCTGGAAAAGAATATTTCCAGGAGTTCCGGAAAAGGGCTGAAAACGATGAGAACGATAGATATGCTGACCTAACATATTCCACTCCCATAAAAGATGCGACGGAAGTTTTTCTGATGAAGACTGTCCGACGGTCATCACAGCGTTTCCAATAGCAAAAGAAGGAAGAAAGCAAAGCAGTATCGACTGAAAATTGGAACGTCAAATGCAGAAAAATAAAAAAGGTGCCACTTTTGGACGCAAAACTCACTCTGATAATTTCAAGCAGAGATCGATCTATGGTTTCTTGGAAACTCAGCAAGAAGAGAACCAGCATAGCTGCGAAAGCTGCGACTAGTTGCCAGATAATCAACAGAACGTTTGCTTTTGATGGTGATGAAAATATGAAGGATACTGTGTAGACGAATGGAACACAAGCCCAGAAGTAGAGAGCGAAAAGGAGAATGATGCTAAAAACGTTGCATGAATGAAAATTGCAAATATAAACAAACAAACAATCATTACCCGATACTGGATAGGTAAGAGAGAGAAATGAGAAAAAACTTACAACTGAAGATAACCTTGCATCCATCCAGAAAAAAGGAATACTGCTAGGAAACAAGAACAGGCAAAAGCATACAGCAGGAAATCGTAGACAAATGAAGCCACCCAAAATGTGACAGGCGAGATACCCGTCAAAGTTTGCTGCAAAGTGTTCCGATCATACAAAAAAATTAATTCACAAAAATGATAAAAATATCAAACAGAAAGTGCAAAGGCTGGAAGAAACGCCGAAAATAATACAAGAAAATGATATTAATACCTGATGGGCAAATTTGCTCACTCGTTCCTCGACCAGAAACATCACGAAAGTTGATGTGAGCAAAGCCAACGCTAACACTAATATGGGTCCCAAGACTGAGTCCACAAATCCGACAGTAACATATCGTGAGCTGGTTGCAGCAGTTGCGGGAGGGGTATACGCATGCAATCGAGTGTGTATCGCTGCACTACCCGCTAAAATCATCACCTCTAATAGCTCCGTACAAAGAAAAAA